GAGGCTGAGACAAGAGAATCGCTTAAGCTCAAGAGTTTGAGGTTGCTGTGAGTTGTGATGCCATGGCACTGTACCGAAGGCTATAGCTTGAGACTCTGTCTCAAATAAAATAAAAAGAAAGTAATTTAGAATCATTTTAGCAATTTGACTCTCCTCAACATCCAAGTGCATGATCAGAGGATGTCTTTTCCTTTTTTATGTTTCTCTCAATTTACTTTTATTGTCTCTTATAAAAGCATCTGTCTTTGACAGATTGGAAATAAAGAATAAGACCTGACCCTTCTCCTTCAGTAGCTGGAGAAGGCCTGAGGTGGGTGTTACTGAGGCTCTTCTAGACTGCAGCCATCACCGGTGTCCCTGGCAGGGAAACTATGGAAAAGAGCTAGTCACAAAGCAGAAGCTGGGTGGGCTAGTGGAGTTCCTGCTTGACATGCCAGGAGACTAAGGAAAAGAAATTCTACTTCTCTTGCTTGTCTTTGTTATAGATGAAGCTAATGTGGAATAGAAGAGCCACGTGATGAAATGAGGGCACATTGTCCAGAACATTAAAAAGGCATTTGTTAGCTTCATAAGCTGGATACAGTCAGAAAACTTTAAACAGCAAACAAAGGAAAAGCTATTCTCTACCAAGGGATAGAAAAATTCAGAGCCCCCGCTAAACACTTTACGATAACTTTCACCAATCAGAAAATTGGCGAGATGCATAACCAAAAGATGCCTGTCTTTATAGATGGCTCAAGAGTTTGAGCATCAGTGAAACTTTGAACCTGCAACAGGACAAATCCCTTTATCCCAATTCAAAAGATCAATGATACTTTGTAGTCTGGTAACACGGATGAAAAAGAAGTCACCTTTGAGTAGATTTCCACAGCACCTCTCACTAGTGATGGAGACAAGCCCCAGGCCACAGAGCAGGCCACCTCCCATTAATATGTGCTAACTGGTATTCAAATGCAGTTATGGTTGAGTCTGAATTATTTCAAGTATTTTTTTAGCTTAGAAGAAAAGTAATAATAGAAAGAAGGAAAGATATGTGATGTTTTAGTGTTGCCAGGTGATGTCTTCTCTTTTAATTATTTGAGAAATGCAATATTTTTTCTGCTCCTCTTCCTCTGTCTCCGTCTCCTCTTCTTTTTTGTTTTCCTCTTTCTCTTTCTTCTCTTCCTTCTCCTCATGCTTCTCCATCATTTTCACTTTGAAAAGTTGTCCGAGCCAGCAATAGCAGTCCCACGACCTTCCCAAGGGAGGTCTGCTGAAAATTTTACTCTTAGAAAATAAAAGCACATATTCAGTGACAACTGTGAACTGTCCCCCTCCAACGTGGAAACTTTAGAATCCCTTGTTTGACCACTAGTGCCGATGGCTATTTCCCAAGAAAGTTTTTGAGGCCCCCTTCTTCCCAGTGATGTCCTAAGCACCATGGAGACTGGCTGCAGTAGACCCTCAGCAAGCGTCCTCCCCTCCTCTCGTCCTGGTACCCCTCTGTTCAATATCAAAATCTCCATCCACCAAAAAGAGGAAGAAATTAGACAAATACCATGCTGTAAATTGATGTCATTTCCTTCTACAAGTAGATTTATAAACGTCAGACAATGCACTGGGTTCCAGATAAGGCCAGGAAGAAGAAGGAAATAAAGCAAAAAAGGCAATGAAGGCTGAAGTCTTAAATATGAATCCTTGTTTCAAAACTCTTTCTGTTTCTGAGCTTGAATCGGTTCATTGAACCTCCCTGCTTGCCTTTTACCACCCAGATTGGAGGGACTAATTCAAAACAGAGCTAATCTGAGAACCCCACTGAGGTTAGTGTTTCTAAAGTGCTTCATACTGCATGAAAAGGCAATCCAGGGGCCAAATGCTATTACTGTCCATTCCTGCCACGTCTCCATCGACCTCTATCCTTTGGTACAACGTGGTGCGAGACCAGATTTAAGATCTGTATAATGCCAAACTAGCTGCAAGAGAAAATTTTAAAAAGTTAAGCCTGGCT